ATTTTTTATAAATTATCAAAAAGTTTGGGAAGAGTGTGTGGTGTTCTCGGTGCGAGTGTCACACCATTAGGATTATAAGCAGTAGGAACATCTGTGTAACACGGGATGTAGCTAATTTCATGTAACCTAGAAAACAGATATATATCTTTTTAGTGCATTTTGGGCCCTGGTCGTTTTATCTGGGGCTTTTCTTTCATTGCAAGGTGCGTGTGGTCTTCTTAGCCATGTGATATGTCACCAATATGAATTATTACACGTGTGTATTTAATACACTGTCACTTATGTACGAATCGAGTATGACTAAAATAACTAAAGATGATGAACTCATCTGAAAACAGGTAAAAGATCCGTACAGATTCACACCAGAAAATACTATTAAAATAGGCAGTTGAACGTATACATTGTCATGCCACACGATTAAGTAATGTTCAAAAGATGCAGTTTTCACAATTCTCTGTTTGATTGGCACTAAAGCACAGATACAGCTTTTTGGGGATAAGCGGGAAGAAACATGAAACTAAAAATATGAAACAATTTTTCGAGGTCATGTTATGTTATCACCAAATCAACTCTAAATCGGGAGCGTCACGATACGTCCACCGAGATTTTGATATGTACTCCTAATTCATAGGCAACAAAGATGCTTTCAGTGCTTTACCATCTTTTAAATTTTAAACTGTCACGGTTATTAGAAATCTCATCCTTCACCGCTAATTAAATAATTAAAAGCACTCCATCTTTAATCCTCGTGCCTTCTAATATGTCCGAGCACTCGTATGTCAGATTGACAATCTTCGTATGCTAAAACACTAACCGGCTGACCACGCGCGCGTTATTAAGACCAGCTCTGTCCGAAGGGCAGTGGGTGGCCAATTACTGACCAATAAGTGCAGTGTTAGTCGCAGACCAGGAACTGATAATGCAACTCATGGTTCCAATAAACTCATTTGCTGTGATTTGGCACAATTAGAACGTTGGCGGCAGTACATCAGATCAAGCCGGAAGTGAGCTCCGGCTTCCTGAGTCTCCAGTCAAAATATACACGGCAGCCACCGCCGGGAATCTTACATCTTTAAAAACAATTTATTGTATTTCGGTCCTCGTAGTTTATCAAACTAAAAGATAAGGTGATAAGTTAAAGAAATAAGAAAGGCGACACCGATAGCGTTTATTTGACCACGGTGCTGCGGATGATAATAGAAGCCTTTCTCCAGGCCTTGATTGATGATAGTAGTCGGCATGATGGCGTTTTCATGACTTTAGAGTACGGGTTAAAACAGTTCTGATCCCTTTTTTCTTCTCAAAATTGTATTTGCAGATTGCCCTTTAAAATCATTTAACCTAAATATATACGCAATGCTAAAATCAACAAAGTTTCACAAACAATTGGTGTGTGATCTGTGATCTATTCATACAATTTTAACGCTGTTTTGCCTTCTACGCCTAATGTCATCTCGTTCAATAGATAATCGGCACAAGTTGTTAACTGGCGTTGACTATATACATTTGGATTGTTTCTGGTAAATGAAGTTGATAGGTGTACATTTGTATCAGTTGCCTAATGGGACTGTTATTGGCCAGGGTTTTGGACTATTGTAGTTTTTATTGAAAAAGAGGGTTTAGTATTTACGCTAATTATCCCAACTGTCAATTAAAGTGCCACAAAAGAATGTCCTGTTGCTGTTTAATGACCTTGGGTCACACGGCTAAAACATATCGGACATTCCCTGGTACAAAGCAAGAGCCTCTTCATGTAAGACAAGCGGCATTCCCCTCTTCTAGATGTGTCCCGCTGGAGGCAGATCTAATGACCATCACCTCTTTAGTTCAGCAATATCGTTTTTCTTTGTACTCGAAAGCAGGAAAGATCAAGGAAATTAGACACTTCCGTATATCCCTTGTTTATGAAATTAGCCAATTTAGGGAAAGAAATAAGGAAACATTTGACGGAGGTTGGACTACTTTACAAGCCTTTTTAATGCGCTTTGTCAGTCGGACATTTCCGAAAAAGATCAAAGTCAGGCGGGATATACCGCTCTACCCCCTGCTTCGTTTGAGTGTCGTCTGCCCAGCGGCCATGTTTTAGTTCCAGTAAATTGATGGGCGGGAACAGGCAGACGACAAAGCAGACGATACTGTTTCCCCAGACGCGTGCCTTCACTCTCACAACTTCCTGTCAAAAATCTTTTACTTCCGTCCCAATTTGTTGAAAATCAACTCAAATGCATGGGCGAGGAAATGCACAAATTAGGAAATTGAGCGAGACATTGGCTCCGCCATCTTGAGATTCAGAGATTCAAGAAGACTGACGACTCGTGCCAATGGTGCAAGTCGTGTGGCCCATGTGTAACCTGTGATGGCGTGATGGCCCAAGAGACCATTAATACGATTAGTTACGGCTTGGGGGTAATATTACCCACAGGAGTCTCAGATCAGATGACTAACAATCTCAGACAAGGTCTTGGTGATAAACGGTTTTGATGTTAACAGTCAGCACAAACGTTTATTGACTTGAACGTAGCTAATTAAACCCATCAGTCATTACGTCATGGACAACTGATTGTACACCGTTTTCATGTCTGTTTGTACGTTCAATAAGTCGTCAGTCTCGTGGTAACCATTCCACCCAGCGATGAATGTATTTTATGGCCCTTTAATCCAATATTCTTGCAATCCGGCCATGCATTGTCGGCGATAGTTATTGAATATAAACTACTTGACAACTAATGGACTTTGACACTTGGAAAATCACATTTCACTCCGATCATGACTGAGTAATTTGAAAAGCATCTAACGGGATCGGGTGGTCAGGCTCACTGACTTGGTTGACACATGTCATCGGTTCCCAATTGCGCAGATCGATGCTCATGCTGTCGGTCACTGGATTGTCTGGTCCAGACTCTATTATTTACAGACCGCTGCCATGTAGCTGGAATACTGCTGAGTGCGGCGTAAAACTAAACTCACTCACTCACTGAGTAATTTGAAATTGCAAACCCCGTGTTCTATAATATTGAATGTGGTGCCCGTATGAAATACATCATCAAACCCGAGCGTATACTACTTTCTTTAAAGGACAGTTTAAGCACGTCCACTCTTAATCGTATATGGACATCAGCACAGAGCGAAATGTAGCTGAGTGTTTTGTTTGTTGTTTAACGAAGCACTCAGCAATTTTCCAACTATATATGACGGCAGTCTGTAAATAGTCTGGACTAGACAATCCAGTGACCAACAGCATGAGCATTGATGTACGCAGTTGGGATACGATGACATGTAGCACACTGTCGGCTCCGTAGTATAAATGTAGATCCATATTGCTCAAAGTAAAGCAAAGATTTATTGATAAAAACCATACATATAGATATTCAAGAGGAATCATTGGTTCGGGATCTTATTTCAAATCATATGTGCATGGCATTTTATTTCAAGTGTCCGACGAGAGAAAATGGCGCAGAATTATTCTGTTGACAAACCAGTGTGAAAAAGTCGCACCCACGAAAACCAAACCCCAGACAAAATACATTTACACGCCATTCTCTGCTGTTCTCTATCAATGAAAGTAAATTCTTCCATGTCTGCGACTAATGAGGCTTGGAATGTGTCTGTCATTGTAGCATTAACAAGGAACAGGCAGAAAAAACAAACCGTTTTATGTAAAGTGAAACGGCTGGACATCAAAGACTAGTTCATGGTCAGTAAATCAGCACGCTGACCAAATGACCATTGGGTATGTCCACAAAGCAAACCCATTAACACGTAGAACATAAATTGTTCTAAGAAGGACAATTGTGAACGTGATAAATCATCATATACTGTTTGTTGATTAGAGCCGCTAGTCTGTATTGGCATCGTTACAGGAACTGTTCAAATGTTATCACATTTACTAAGTCGAGCGTAGCTATGCGTGAAATACTGTGTTCCTAGTCGACTGTAAACTAGCTTTCATTGCCAGAAATACGTGTGGTCAATTCTGTGTCTGTTATATGTACTAGAAAATAAGGTATACCAATAACTGTATGTTTGAAGTCTGGAAAGGCAGCTATGCCTTATTAAGTTCTGATTTCCACTTACGATACTTCAAAGAGCTGTACAAAGTAGTATGATCAGATTTCATTAAAGGTATTTAGTGTTTAGTACATCATTTGGAGAAAGGAAACTGGTTTTAAACGGTATGTAGCATCTCCAGTCCGTAAATACCGACATTATAATGATAACGACGACAACATTTTAAGGTAAACGTCACACGCGGGTTCTGGCCAGTCTCCTATCGCGTGTGGTAAATGTGTGAATGACACAAAATGTAGAAAACACACGCGAGATTGCACGAGACGTTGACACGTCCGCCGGAAGTTGCTGATACTAATTTTGATGTCGCGTGCCGTTAATTTGCGTAACTTCCGGTTATAAAAAGCAGGACACACATCCGTGATCTGTTTTAAACGAAATAGTTGAAAAGAATTGCTTGCAGATTCGTGAGTAGTTAGTGTGCTTGAATGTGTGTTTAAGTGTATAGGGTATTAGACGATTTAGTCCTTGAAATAAAGTCACATATAAAATTTTAAAAAACATATGCGATATAGGAACCCTCAAGTATATAAAATTGAAAACGTATAGATGTGAAACTCGCATAGGCTGCTGGAGACGAAAATGCAATGGTGATTGTTTAAGAACAAAATTCTCTCTAAGTTAGTCTGTGTCACAGTCCCTGAACCACATCATGTTCCCTACTGCCAAGCTCTCTCTGCAGTGCTAAAGATCTAAATGAAGCAAGTCTAGATTTCCTCATCTTCTGAATCGCTGGTCTCCCTGGGGCTCCTTTTCAAATTTAAATGGTTTATTTGTTACTATCAAAATTATATATATTCAGAGACTAAGCGTTAGTCTAGTCCTAAGTCTGCAAGAGAAATTATAACATAGTTACCCTGTCCTTATCGGATGTGTGGCGGTTTATCGGGAGAATTGTTTCTTCAATGATAAGCTATCACAGTTTTTTCCTAGATAACAGTACAACACAACAAAAGGCTATCTGACCAAGGTAGATACACAGACGGCCTGCGATGACAACGGGGAAGTTGAATAACTATGTCACCGGATGCTCACGATGGATGTAACTCGCACCTGTTCGCCAGGTCAACGAGTCAGATGACACTGAACCGTATTGTCCTCTCTGCTCAACTGCCTGCACAGGTAGGTAATATGTACGGTGTTTTTGTTGCATTTGAGTCCTGCTTTTACTATTCCTACAACATCTCAGTGTTATTTATTAGTTAAATTTCCATAATTAATGTAGCATATACAGTATGAAATATGAATATATGAGCACAAGAGAATGGAAAATATGCATGTCAACAAACCTGAAATGAGAACGTGGAATGTTTAAAACATGACTTCGCCCGTACTTTTCACTTCGTGCATTCTACTACCGTTAGTTTTCGAGGCCAGGCATTACGGTTGAAGGGGTTACGTAGACGAACAACTAGTCTCTGAAATGAACATATTTTACTGAAAAAGGTTCATAGTAAAAAAATATAAAATATAATGAAAAGGAGCCCTGAGACTTTCTTCATTTTCAGAAGCTGAGGAAATCTAGACTTGCCACATTTTCTAGACTTGTGTGGGCTTTCTTGGATATATTTGCTTCAGGGTCTATACGAGAGACTAGGGGGTTACGCTACACATTAAGCAATCTCGTTATGTATCAAAATATTTATATCATCAAGAGTCTCTCAGATCCCCGAGAATAAATTTGAAAATGTAATCAGCTATAGAATGCCAAGTCTAGAATACCTCATCTATAGGAATGAGGCGTTGTTCTATGCTCCATCAGGATAATACGTTTTTATCTTTGTAGATATATATTCAAGATACGATTATTTGGATGAAAACCGCGATAAGGTGGATTTGATCATCAGACACTTTGCAGATGGATTAAGTGAGACACCTTTGAACTTACGATACAGATATTGAGTCTTAGATAAAGATACAGTGTATAGTCACTGAATTGGGATCAGGTTTAGCGTGGTATTATGACAGACTCGACCCTTCACCGTCATTGTCAGTTCACCTATACAGAGATCACAGTGCGACCTTGTCACTTATGTTAGCTCCACGACACACTGAGCTTGGTAGGTATAACTGCCATTGTATTTTTAATTTGACTTCCAGCCAGACACGGATCTGGCTGGACAAGTACATCAATTACATAGGGCCAGTTCAAATCAGAGGTAAGTACATTATTATCTCGAGTGAGTGAGAGAGTGTGTTTAGTTTTACGCCGCACTCAGCAATATTCCAGCTATATGGCGGTCTGTAAATAATCAAGTCTGGACCAGACAATCCAGTGATCTACAGCATGAGCATCGATCTCGAAGCTGTAGGGCCTAGTCTTCAAAGACTTGGGAAATCCGTTATGCCAGGCTCACTGGATCGTTGGGTTCGAATCCACATTTGTCTAATTATTAACGGGGGCGGTGGGGTAGCCTAGTGGTTAAGACGTTCGCTTGTCACGCTGAAGTTCCCGAACCCGAGTTCCATTCCCCACATGGGTACAATGTGTGAAGCCCATTTCTGGTGTCCCCCGCCGTGATATTGCTGGAATATTGCTAACAGCGGCGTAAAATTTAACTCACTCAATTATTAACACTGGTTTGTCAGCCCAAAACCCCTTCTCGTGAGTTTCATTATCCCTGCATCCCTCTGGGGTTCCAGCTGGCATGGAGGACTACAACTGAAATACCCTTCAACGTACCCGTATACTCTATTATTCAAGCTCATAAGTTACGTCAAACGTACGAAAGTATTCTCTGTGTGTTATTCATAGACGGGAATTAATTTCCTTTCCGAAGAGTATATAATCATAGCCAAACACTAATTCATTGATTATCTAAACATTTCTGACGCTTTGGTCTTATTTTAATTAAGGTTGCCAGGGGCCCAATCCACAAAGCGTTCGTAGCGCTACGACATTCGTAAGCCTATGATAAACTATAGAGTTACGACAGGTCGTAACGTTACGAACATTTTGTGGATCGGAACCCTGGTTTGTCTTTTAGAGATTGGAATTGTTTTATACTGGGGGTAAGGTAATCAATTTCTAGATCTGATATTTGTTTATTTGTTGTTTAACGCCGCACTCAACAATATTCAAGCTATAAGACGGAGGTCTGTAAATAAATGCCTGTCGGGCAGATAGTCCTGTGATTAACATCATGAGCATCGATCTGTGCAATTGGGATACGATTACGCGTCAACCAAACTAGGGAACCTGAGCACAAGATCAGTCGCCTCAGGATCATGGAACCGTTGTAAGCGATGTAAGCGCAAAGTTGATCGTAACTCCCTTACCTTAATATAGACTTACGAGTGTCATGGCGCTAAGGTTGCTTTGTACAACGGCGCCCTGATGACCTGTATTCATGCATGGTTGATTAGTACTGATTCGGTATTCTTGGCTTACAGACGTCGCTGTCAGCGTGTATCCTACGAGACATCATCAGCACCACGACATCACCAACATCGTCAACATCGTTGTTCATCAGCTGTGATTGTCATGACAACCCAATCAATGCAACAGCTAGTTTCATCTCTGGAGAAGGTCCTCACACCGCAGTCACTCGTGGTGAACGACATACAGTCTCCATCTACAGCAGCACTTACAGCGACATCTTTACCCACGTCAGCAGCAGCGACGTCCACAACGGCTCCCGTCGTTACTTCTACCTATGAGTCGTTTCCTCCTTTACCAACAACCCCACCTAAACGTGTCGCGGAACAGAGACCCTCCAGTTTTTGGACTGACTACAACAGCGTTGTCCTGACCATGGCGTATATGAATGAGTATCCGCTGATGGCTCCATAAACAAACACTTATGGTCGTGACAAGAGAATATCTCTGAAGGACCGTTTGTCATTGGACAAACGCCCTGGTTGAACCATAACATAAATTGTATTTAGATTTATATTGGTGAGTTTGGGTTATTCGTTGCTATCAGCAACATCCCTGCAATTGCTGAGAACAACGCAATAAATGGGCTTCTGTGTTACGAATCGACCCGAGTCTTCAGCACGACGAGCAAACGAGTTCCCACCACCCAACATGATTTTAATACATCAATGTAGTTTGTAATAAGTGGTTAAAGGAAATCCTTATGCACGTGGCCAACCTTTTGATATCTTTCACCGTTATTATCACGTTTATATGTATAATTACATCTTCCTAAAACCATTTAATCCGCGTTATGTATCATTTCCTATTTTATTAACAGCCGTTCCAACTTCCGTTGTTTAATATACAGCACGACATGTTTAATCTTTTCCACTGTTTACGTTTAAATAATAAACTTCAGTACATAACATCGCCATTTCTGACATTTTGCTTCCACTCCAGGACACATTTCATTGTTTTAATTCAAGGAGAGTCCTATCTACCTCCTCCATCGTGCTCGTTTCATCTCCACTTCCTGGACCCAACGTTGTATATTCTCGACGACCTTGTCGAGCTTGTGGGCACGCGCGTGAGACACGTGTCCCCGTGTATGGGATCAGAGGACGTGTTTTGTACCCTGGTGTTCCTGGGCTAAGATCAACAAGCATGTTATCTACGATCTGAGGGCTGATAGACTGTACACTGTGTGTCGGGGAGATCTAACCTTCGTGTTTGTTGTCCTATCGGAAACCGATCCACACAAGAGAAGGCTGTGTTCTTCTGTGCGTATCTACTGACAGAACAACCGCAGCTCTGCTCCACACCAGACATGCTGGTGGTGTATCATGTCGCCTTGACAGGTCTTCGGTGATACTTTGAGTGAGTGAGTGTGGTTTTACGCCGCTTTTAGTAATATTCCAGCAATATCATGGCAGGGGACCCCATAAATGTGCTTCACACAGTGTACCAACGTGGGAAATCGAACCCGGGTTTTCAGCGTGACGAGCGGACGCTTTAACCATCAGGCTACCCACCGCCCCCTCACACGGAATACAGTCGTAGGTGAAAGATTAGACTAACGCGTAGTCTCTGAATATACACTAAACGCTAAAAGAAACGTTACACTCTTTCCTTAATTAATTACTGAAACATTATCAAAGATATGTAAGAAGGGATTAGTTTACAAGAAACTTAACAACACAGCTTTATGCAAATCACGAAAACAATTTCTCAGATGCATTCATAATATGAATATTTAGGTGAAATGCATCTTTTTCAGAAGAGTAAAATTGTCCTATTTTCGACCATGCCGAAATAAACCAGTTACAGTGATTAAGATGTCCGAAAGAAAGGTTGAAATAAAATTCTGCTTTGAGACAAAGATAAACCATTTAAAGTCACCATTTTTTCAACTATTAAAACAAGAAACAACTTGTAAAAGAATTATTTCTATGATTTCAGTCTTTTACAACACTTTCTGCTGATTTGCATTAGTGAAAACAAGTAAAACGTGTCTTTGATATTGTGAAAAAGTGTTTAGGAACACCTAAAATTATCTTTGTTAACATTTATGCTTGCAAAGTAACATTTTTCCATTTTCTGTTTACACATTGCAATATCAATCGCCAAAACGTAGCAATATGCAAGCAGTATTTGCATAAATTTCACGTGTAGAATCATTCTATAGGGTATAAAGAGAGACTAGAATGCATGATATGATATACAAGTGCGAGAAATATGCCACGATTACCAGCTGAAGAGAGAGAAAGAGCCATTGGGATGGTGCAGATGGGGTCGACATACAATGTTGTTGCCAACGCCCTCGGATGCCACTGTATCACGGTTATATATCACTTATTCGTTTCAGACAGACTGGGGTCCCCGTAGACAGACCAAGAAGTGGACGTCCGCGCATCACAACGCCAGCTGAAGATAGGTACAAATTCAAGGAAAGAGGGTAACGTTTCTTTTGGCGTTCAGTGTACATAATTTTGATAGAAACAAATACTTCCTTTCAAATTGAAAAGGAATTCCAGTGAGACATTCAGAACCCGAAGAAAGGTAGACTTGTTTCATTTAGGGCTATAGCATTGCAGAGAGGACTGGGCGGAAGGTAAAATAATGAGTTCAGGGACAGTGTCAGTGTGAGTGATATTCAAGTCGCCGTCTCCGACAGTCCGACAGGCATGTTTAGTCGCCGTCTCTCCGATCGTGTTTAAGCATGTTTAGCCGCCTCCGCCGTCTCCGACAGTCATGTTTAGTCCCGTCTCCGACAGTCGTGTTTAGTCGCCGTCTCCGACAGGCATGTTTAGTCGCATGTGTTTAGTCGCCGTCTCCGACAGTCGTGTTTAGTCGCCGCCTCCGACAGTCGTGTTTAGTCCCCGCCTCCGACAGTCGTGTTTAGTCCCCGCCTCCGACAGTCATGTTTAGTTGCCGTCTCCGACAGTCATGTTTAGTTGCCGTCTCCGACAGTCATGTTTAGTCGCCGTCTCCGACAGTCATGTTTAGTCGCCGTCTCCGACAGTCATGTTTAGTCGCCGCCTCCGACAGTCGTGTTTAGTCGCCGCCTCCGACAGTCATGTTTAGACAGTCGTCGCCGCCTCCGACAGTCCGCCGTCTCCGACAGTCGTGTTTAGTCGCCGCCTCCGACAGTCGTGTTTTAGTCCGACCGCCTCCGACAGTCAGTCGTGTTTAGTCCGACAGTCATGTTTAGTCACGCCGTTCCGACAGTCGTCGTGTTTAGTCCCCGCCTCCGAGTCATGTTTAGTCCCCGCCTCCGACAGTCGTGTTTAGTCGCCGCCTCCGACAGTCGTGTCGCCGCCTTTCGTGTTTAGTCCCCGCCTAGTCTCCGCCGTCTCCGACAGTCGTGTTTAGTCGCCCTCCGACAGTCGTGTTTAGTCGCCGTCTCCGACAGTCGTGTTCGTGTTTAGTCGCCGCCTCCGACAGTCGTGTTTAGTCCGCCGTCCTGACAGTCATGTTTAGTCCCCGCCTCCGACAGTCATGTTTAGTCGCCGCCTCCGACAGTCGTGTTTAGTCCCCGCCTCCGACAGTCGTGTTTAGTCGCCGTCTCCGACAGTCGTGTTTAGTCGCCGCCTCCGACAGTCGTGTTTAGTCGCCGCCTCCGACAGTCGTGTTTAGTCCCCGCCTCCGACAGTCGTGTTTAGTCCCCGCCTCCGACAGTCGTGTTTAGTCGCCGTCTCCGACAGTCGTGTTTAGTCCCCGAGTCGCCGTCTCCGACAGTCGTGTTTAGTCGCCGTCTCCGACAGTCATGTTTAGTCCCCGCCTCCGACAGTCGTGTTTAGTCGCCGCCTCCGACCGTTTAGTCGCCGTCCGACAGTGTGTTTAGTCGCCGCCTCCGACGTGTTTAGTCCCCGTCCGACAGTGTTTAGTCGCCGCCTCCGACAGTCGTGTTTAGTCGCCGCCTCCGACAGTCGTGTTTAGTCCGCCGCCTCCGACAGTCGTGTTTAGTCGCGTCTCCGACAGTCATGTTTAGTCCCCGCCTTTAGTCGCCGTCTCCGACAGTCGTGTTTAGTCGCCGCCTCCGACAGTCGTGTTTAGTCGCCGTCTCCGACAGTCGTGTTTAGTCGCCGTCTCCGACAGTCGTGTTTAGTCGCCGCCTCCGACAGTCGTGTTTAGTCGCCGCCTCCGTTTAGTCCCCGCCTCCGACAGTCGTGTTTAGTCGCCGTCTCCGACAGTCATGTTTAGTCGCCGTCTCCGACAGTCATGTTTAGTCGCCGTCTCCGACAGTCATGTTTAGTCGCCGCCTCCGACAGTCGTGTTTAGTCGCCGTCTCCGACAGTCATGTTTAGTTTAGTCCCCGTGTCCGACAGTCCTCCGACAGTCGTGTTTAGTCGCCGTCTCCGACAGTGTTTTAGTCCCCGCCTCCGACAGTCATGTTTAGTCGCCGCCTCCGACAGTCGTGTTTAGTCGCCGCCTCCGCCGTCTCCGACAGTCGTGTTTGTCGCCGTCTAGTTGCCGTCTCCGACAGTCGTGTTTAGTCGCCGCCTCCGACAAGTCAGTCGCCGTCTCTCCGACAGTCGTGTTTAGTCGCCGTCTCCGACGGTCATGTTTAGTCACCGTCTCCGACAGTCATGTTTTTAGTCGTGTTTACCGTCTCCGACAGTCGTGTTTAGTCCCCGCCTCCGATAGTCGTGTTTAGTCCCCGCCTCCGACAGTCGTGTTTAGTCCCCGCCTCCGACAGTCGTGTTTAGTCGCCGCCTCCGACAGTCATGTTTAGTCGCCGTCTCCGACAGTCGTGTTTAGTCTCCCATGTTTAGTCGCCGTCTCCGACAGTCGTGTTTAGTCTCCGACAGTCGTGTTTAGTCGCCGTCTCCGACAGTCATGTTTAGTCCCCGCCTCCGACAGTCGTGTTTAGTCGCCGTCTCCGACAGTCGTGTTTAGTCGCCGTCTCCGACAGTCATGTTTAGTTGCCGTCTCCGACAGGCATGTTTAGTCACCGTCTCCGACAGTCATGTTTAGTCGCCGTCTCCGACAGTCATGTTTAGTCGCCGTCTACGACAGGCATGTTTAGTCGCCGTCTCCGACAGGCATGTTTAGTCGCCGTCTCCGACAGGCATGTTTAGTCGCCGTTTACGACAGGCATAGGTTGTTGGTGGCCCATTCTAACTCGCATTTGTGTTCAGTTGGAATAAAAACAGTGTATAGGAAGTTAGGGTGAGGGGAGTTCTGTACGTTTCGTATACCCCATGCGACACACAAAAGTATACTTAATCAAATGTTTTCATGGGTAGTATTCATTTTATATAATACTTAGTACTTAGTCTAGGTATATGGATGACCTCACTGCAATACACATGACGCAATGCATAGGCATTGAATTCTGTGCGAAAAGTTTGTAGTATGAAAATGAAGGAAGAGTTGTTGAGGGGTGGTGATGGCATTAGCTCTGCTGCAAACGCTGCGCGAGACTTGAACGTGATGATGCGTGATCTGTAAACATGTTTCAGCAATGAAAGCATGAACTAAACCCAGTTTATGTCCGATTATCTGAGATTTAGGGTAATGTATATTCCACAACCGTGTCCAACTACAGAAGATGGGGATGATAAACTAGCTGATCCGATCCTGATGTCGTGTGACCCCACGGTCACATCCCTCTTGATCTCGCTGATGACATAGTGTTGACTCTCCCTAAAACAGTTTTGGCCTGTCATTCCTATTGGGTATTGACTCCCCATATTGGGTATCACGATGCACTAGACAACCCGTTTAGGATTTCATGGTGTACTGGACACTGGAGGTTCGAGCACGGCCACATCTTTGGATGGTCCCATTCGAAACATATGGCAACTTGCATCGTCACATGATCGGTACTGTAGCTCACCCGTTGTCTTAGCTGCTTTGCGTATTTGTAGTTTTTTAACGCCGTGAATAAATATGCATTATATGCTATACCACGGAGAGTATACAGA